ACCTAACACCCCTGCTGCCACATCATGCGAGTGCACCCAGCTTAGCAGGCCGCCCCACACTGTCTCAGAGCTCCAGCCACTTGGGCTGAACAGCACTAAGCCCCAGGTGACAGCCACAGCACCCCTAAGCTTCCAGACAGCACAGGTGCCCTGCCAAGTTGGGCCGCACCTGCACAATGTAGCAGCTGCAGCGTGAGTGCTAGATAGCCAGGGCCATGCCCTGCTGCTCTGCACCACATAGGGGAGTTGTGCCATGAGGCCCTGAGTGGCCCCAACTGCCACTGCTGCTGCTGGTAAGCTGCAGACAGTGCAGGAGGCTGGAACTGGGTGGGAGAGCAATTGGGGGGGCAGGAGCTGAGAGGGGAAGCTCCAGGAAGCTGGAGCCTAATCCCTGAATCATCTCCATTCCACTCCCCCACTTATCTCCAACCTCCTGCTCATTCTCCTGCTTTTCTCCAGCCTCTAGAGGAATGGAGACAGAGCAGAAGAATGAGTAGGGGGCTGGAGATGAGCAGGCGGCTGGAGACGAGCCCCTGGAGAAAAGCTGGAGATGTTCCCCTGCTGTCTCCAGCCTCCTGCTTGTTCCCCTGCTGTCTCCAACCTCCCGAGGCTAGAGATAAGCAGGAGGCTGGAGATGAGTGGAGGAATGACCAGGATGCTGGAGACAGCAGGGGAACATCTCCAGCGTGTCTCCAGGGGATTGTCTTCAGCCTTCTGCTCATTCCCCCACTCATCTCCAGGCTCCTGAGGCTGGAGATGAGCAGGGGAACAAGCAGGGGGATGGAGATGAGCAGGAGAATGAGCAGGAGGCTGGAGACAGTAGGGGAACATCTCCAGCTAGTCTCCAGGAGCCTCCTGCTCATTCCTCTGCTCGTCTCCTGCCTCCTGCTCATCCCCCTGCTCATCTCCAGCCTCCCAAGGCTGGAGACAAGCAGGGAAATGAGCCAGGGACTGGAGACGAGCAGAAGAACAAGCAGGGGGCTGGAGATGGGGGGTTGGAGGGGCTGGGACCCTGCGGGCAGGGCAGTCCATGTACTATGGGGGGGGGTTCTGCCCTGTGGCCCCCTGCAGGGGACGGGGGAGCCACTCCTCTTCAGCAGCACCCCCGCACAGTCCCCCCACAATCCACCCACACCTACCCACACACCCCAAAGCCTCCCACATCCCTCCACAGCCACCCACATCCCCCCACCCTTCTTCCCACCCCCCTCCTGCTAACTCCACATCCCCCATCACATACCCACCATGTGATAAGAAAACCAAATGTAAACATTAAAACATATAGATATTTAGGGTTTATTTTATTATGATGCTAGAGACACTGGTAGGCTTCCAAATTGCTTTAACATTGTAAATATAGCAATAAAACATTGTCTCTCTGATCAATGCCTCTCCCTCTCTCTCTCTAATTGTGGAAGAAAGTGGATTTTGGGGTATTTTAAAAAGTGAATTTTGGATGCTGCTTCAGCAGTCCATTTGGCACAAGTGGTAGTGTCCCCAAATACTAACTGCCCAGGTCCCAGAAGCTCCTGTCTATTTGTAACATTCGAATACCATAGGCCCTAAGGCCTACCTGGCTATCTAGTAGCTCCTATTGTATGGGGGCTAGTGGGTGACTGCTACAACAAAATACTTGGGACAACGAAGGCAAAAAACAGGACAGGAGTGACGTGAGGGTCAAAGGGTCAAAACATGAAAATGAGTGTGCCTGAGGGGGGCACCAAATAGAGCCCCCTGGGCCGCACCCACCAGTCCTCAAAGGCATCCAAGGAGCCAGTGGACACTGCCCACTGGTACTCTGCCCATAAATGTGTATGGACAGATGAGAGGAAAGCGGCCCCACAGTCTCTGGGTACCTTCCTGGCCAGAGCCTCCTTTCTGGTCAAGTACAGGGCCCACTTGGCCAGGGCCAGGAGGAGGCTTACCAGGAGGTCCCAGGACTTGGTGAGGCTGTGGATGTGGTGACCAAAAACAAAAGGGTGGAGGGTGAACCCCAGAAGTTCCTGAAGGCAAGTAGCCCTGAACTACTGGTCAGGGCAGGTTTTTATACTGCTGGGGCCAGCACAGGAGCTGGCTCCAGGCTCTAGCTCCCCCTGACTGCAGATCCAGGAGGAACCAGGCAGAGTTATTTTGCTCCAAGTGGCACAATTTGCTCCACAACAAAGTGTATGCTCGGGCACATTTGCTGAGGCAAAAAGCCCGAGCTCAAATTTGCACTGCTTCTATTTGAGCTGCTACAAGCACGCGTGCTTGCATGTGTGGACGCACCCCATGATTCTAGTTAGGTTTACTAGCAGAGAACTTCAGCATTTGATCTACAAAAAATGCGTCCCTTGAAATTTTTTTCTAGCATTAAGATTCCTGTGAACAGTACTTTGTAAGTCTACTTTCAGGGACTTTAATTCCAAAAAGAATTGTTATACAGTCAGGATGAATTCCTGGCTAGCTGAAGTTGGCACCAATACAATGGGTTTACACTTCTTTCTTTAATGAAGTATTTTGTCTGTAACTTCTTAAAAGTTTTTTTTTAATGACATTCAAACTGTAAGGGTGATACCACTTCTTCTGTGTGACCAGTCATCATAGATTCCAGTTTGTATATATTCTGGTAAATTAGAATTCATGAATAATACGGATTAATTCTTGCCCTTGTACCAAACATGACTCTACACTGTTACTAAAAATACTTCCTCACTGCCCAATAGGTAATTGGCACCCACATTAGGAGCCCATGGAATAACCTACCCCAGGTGAGAGGATTTCTGTAACAAAGCCCTACCTACATCACTAGATCCTCACTTCTGCATTGGTTCCTGTGTAACAGGGGCACAACATGGGGGTTTCTGTGCCTATAGTGAGATTCTTGAGTTCTTTCATAGTCAGTTGACTATAGGATATCTTGTTCATATCTATGGGAATTGTGGGGTGTGCATTATGGGTGTGTATAGAAGTTGCTTTTTTATCATTTAAAGTGCTTTATTGCCGTGACTTAGTAGAGGTGCACAGCTTTGCGGCACTTTAAAAATGGGTACAGCACTTTAAATTAGCCCTTGTTAAATGAGGTATTAAATTTGAAGCACTGTATTTTACAGCACTTTAGCAACCTACAGCACTGTAAATAACTTCTGTTTCACTGGTCAAATTTCTGACCAGTGGGGAAGCCCCAGGAGGCTGCAGAGTGTCCCCTGCCTCCTAGCCTGAAAAGTTCAGGGAGGCTCAGAGGTTGTCCTCCCCTCTCCCCGCAAACACTGCACTTCTGTCATGTTTAAAAGTGATGTAACTTTATAGTGCTGTAAGAAGTGCTCTAAATCTATAGCACTGTAAAACATGCACAGAGCACTTATGTACACAACCTAAAGTACTAACAGCACTGGAGTATTATTTTTCCCCATCCTAAGTGAAACAGCATCTCTGCTGATTTTAAGTAGGGTATTGGCTAAAGGGATGGACATCAAGTAATCATTTATTCTGCAACCTCTGTTGAGCTAAGACTGCATGCCACAAAGTGCCTCCTCTTTGAAAAAGGACACACCTTTCATTACTGATTCTGTAATGTAGACTGTAGTATACACAGCATGAAAAGAAAAGGTTTTTTGCACTTTTACCTTCTGACTCGCTGCACAGCAGTTCAGGTTCATTCACATCCAGTTTTAGTTAAATACCTTCAGCACGTTCAGCTTTTTAGAGAATATTTTGTGGTTACTTTGAAGTTTTCAAAGAAAAGAGCCTGATATTTAGGGAACTGTGAATTTGTATCTATACTTTTTACCTCAGAGTTCCTGATCCTAGTTTATTTTTCAGATTTATTTTTAAAACTCAATCATTAGTTTGTTGGTGTAGATAAAGGAACCTGTAGTGCCTTGAATTAATATTAGATACAAAATCTCACAAATTTTAACAGAGAAACTATAGTACCACTACTAGTTCTGTTAATAATAGAGTTTTCCTTTGCTTACACTCATGCAGCTTTCAGCATCAGTACATCTGTGAAAAGATTTAAAGAGATGTTGGTGTCTCAACCAAATTTTGCCTTTTAATGACTGTGTATGGGTCCCATTAGAACTGACAAAATTATCTACAATTGTATAATGCAAGCGTTCTTATCTTGTAGGTATTTAGTCTTACAAGAACTTTTCCTACCATGCACATCTGTTAGCTGTATTTATATTATAGTTCCTTCATTTTAATCATTAAAAGCCAGTTTCAACTCACTGAAATCAGTCTTCCTATTGGTTTCAACAGAAGTTGGAGTGTGCTATTAGAATGTTATATTGTACTGTTGCTTTAATATTATATCATTATACTGTTAATTTAAAATACATTAAGAGGAGACTATAAACAGCTAATGAAGGTTTTTTCCTTGAAATATTTTAACAGCTATAGCACATGAAAAAGCAGTTAAAATAAAGAGATTTTCTCTCATAATACTTGGCACATGACAATTTTGGACATCTGTCAAACATGTCCTGTTTCTTGATTGTCTAGAAATCTCCTATCTGTCTTTTTAATCAGAGCAGGTGCATGTACTCATTTCTAAGGCAAATAGATTCCATAGTCTGGTACATGTTATAACACTCATTCTCAGGTGCAGGTAGCTGTAGATTTACAAAAGTAAGTCTACTTTCAAATTAAAAAGGAAGCAAGGATGTATTTGAGCACATGAAATGGGAAATATAAACATGACTTCCCCCGTCCCCAAAAAATAAGGGCAAACGGGGCAAATATAAGTGTTATAAGACCAGTGGTTTTCAATCTGGGGTCCATGGACCTTTGGGGGTCCACATACTGTCTAGGTAGTACACCAAAGATAACTATGATGACTGTGACACCTTAACCACATTACCACCATGCCCAAATATGACATTTGATGAAGGATGTATAGATTTCTTAAGACCAGATGTTAGGAGGAACTTCAAATATAACAAATCATGAAAACAGTCAATCAGGTTTCCTTCTTTTGATCTAGTGTAATCTCTTTAACATTTTTTATGTTGTTTTAGACCCACCTTGCCAGACAGAACTCAGCAACATTCAGAAGCAGCAAGGGGGAAAGAAGCTCCTTGGTGAGTCATAGATCATTTTTTTGAAGGTTTTATTGCTTACATAAATAACCCTAGTGAAACAGCAACATAAAATCAATATTAATCCAACAAAGATAGACCACACTAAATTCCAGTAAGAAAATTTATGAAGTTTTTGAAAGCTATTAAACTTAGTTTTATTACCTTACCTACCAAAAGATATTACATCTGTTTTATTACCCTAATAGAATGTACATTTTTACAGTTATTAGGCAAAAAGGTAGTCCTAAGATAACATTTCTGCTGATAGTTTATCTGTAATATTCTGCAAGTAATTTAAATCTTTGCTGGGAACAAATTCCATAATATACATGAAACTGCTGCACACATCACAACTGCTGTATTTTCATAATTATTTAATTTTTTTTAAATCATTTTAGCCTTAGATGTCTTTTTAAAAACTAGAACAAAAGACGCAACCAAAATAACTTGAGACAGTGTTACTGATCAGAATGGTGGTTTTAAATTTTACATACATTTTGTTATATTTGAAAATCATTTTTTTTATTTACAATTTGCTTCTTTAAAAGATTGCTTGATCCATTTATTATTACCAAATTGTTTTGACATTTACAAATTCCCTTGTTCCAATTTATAGTGTCTTACAAACTGATTCTAGAACTTATTCTGTATGGAGCTCCTCTTGACAGCACTAGGGCTCTGCACAGCTGCAGCAGATTATCTTCATGGAGCATATGCCTGTGTGTGCAGGAAATAGGGTTTAGTTTGCAAATAAATGAAATGTATTATTAGAAGTGCACCCATACATCAGTCCCATATCGGCACCGATTTAAGGAACATTGACAGTATCGGCAATCGTCTTTTTTGGCTGATGTGGCTGATAATGTCATAGATAAATGCCCTGTGCATATGCGCAGCCTGCAGGTGGCCAGGAGCACCGCCGAGGAGCATGGAAAGCAACTGTGTCCGGTTTGTAAGTCTGTTCTGAGGGAAGGAGTGTGTAGGGGGCAGATCGAGACCCCAGCAGTGAGTGAGGGAGTGGGGCAGGGGCAGGTGCTGCACAGCTGGGGCAGGACAAGAGATGGAGCTGTGGTTCATCCGAAGGGTGCAGGGGAGGGGTGGCTTCACCTGCTGTGCACACCTCAGGAGGGCATTGGGGGTTTGTGCCCCCCAGATCTGTGCATGGGGTGAGGACGGGCTGCCACTGCAGGCTGAGGCTGGGGCTGCGGCAGCCCTGGGCTCTTTCCAGTGGTGGGGTTTGGGCCAGGCTGCACTCAGGGCATGCGGCAGCAGCACTGGGAGGGGGGCTACAGTGAATTTTGGGGTGGCTGCAACATCCCCCCGTAACTCCCCTTGCAGCGCAACTGCCGCCCACCCCAAGCACAGCCCAGCCCCCCCACCAAGATCTTGACTCCCCCCCCAGCCTGCAGCAGTAGCCTGCCCTCACCCCATGTGCATATCTGGGGCACACACCCCCATGCCCTCCTGGGGTTCATGCAGCAGTGGGAGCCGCCACTCCCTCCCTGTACTCCCCAGATGAGCCATTAATGGCTCATTCCTGTGCCCTGCTCCAGCTCTGCAGTGCCTGCCCCAGCCCCAGCCCCACTCTCTCCCTCACTGCTGGGGCTTCAATCTGAACCCCAATGCCCCTTCCCTCCCTCCCTCCCTCCTCACCCCTTCCTCCACAACAGACTTACCAGCCAGACCTGTTCTCCAAGCTGTCTGGCTGCATATTTGCAATCGGATCGGTATTGGCCAATATGGCTCGTTAAAAATCTGCCATCAGTATTGGCCCTAAAAACCTCTATCGGTGCATCTCTATTAATTACTATATTATTGTGTTATGCAGCTTAACTTTGGAAACTAAATGATTAGTTAGTGTATTCTAGTTCACTGAAACACTAACCCTCTAGTGAAACTGAATGTAATTTTTAGTGAAATTGAAAATCATGATAGCCATAGGAGCTACAGAACTCCAGCAAATCACCAGTGTGTCTACAGCAGATTCAGAGGTCTGTCCCAAACATAGTGTGACATCAAGCTAGCATGGTTCAAGCACACTGATTTCCATAGCCAAGAACACACAACGAAGGGATGGTGACTGGCATCACAGCTACCTGCTTTTGGTCCCCCAGCTTGAATGACCAAGGCCAATTTCTGCACATATCCACAGCACATGAAGAAACTCGCTTCTTAAAGCTGTTGCAAGGACTTATCTATACATGTGCTTAGGGGTGAGGGGCATTTTCGAGTGGTTCCCAGACAGCCACTCTAATTAAAATGCTGCAGCATCACATGTATTAAGCCCCAATGTGTTTAAAAATGGCTGTGGTATGCTAACTCAGGGGTGGCCAAAATATGGCCTGCAGGACAGATTTGGCCCACCAGGTGATTCCATCTAGGCCGTGGGGCCAATCCAAAAGTCAAAAGACAATCATCACTGGATCATGCCCTTGGCTACACCTCTGAAAACTGGTGCATCTCTGCAGGAAGCACTGGCTCTGGTTGCTAAGCCACCAATCCCCACCCCAGCCTGGGCTGACCTGCCCTGTCCCCAGCTCCAAGATAGGGAATGAGGGAGACAAGAAGCTTCTGCCTGGCAGAGGCTTTTGCCTGGTGACCCCATGATTATTTACCAGTCCTCCTTTCCTGAATCTTGCAGTGGAACAAGTTTTACTTGAAACATCCCCACCACCATTTTCCAGTGCAGGGATGCTGATACAAAAGACACTGCAGCACTTTAATTAGAGCAGCACTCGGAACCTGTCTAATTCAAGCACTGCCCCCCACACCCCTGGTGCACATATAAAAGTGCCCTCCATTGTGAGGAACTGCATGCTAGGGGGCTGTGCTGAGCTGATCCAACACACTGCAGCCATGTAGGGCCAGGGACTTGGGTGGAAGTTGCGCATTATGGGTCCAGGCTGGGCTGGGCTGCATGCTGCTGCCACATAGGGCCAGGGACTTGGGCAGCAGCCTGGGAATTGTGTGCTATGGGACTGGGCTAGTCTAGCCCCACACACTGCCGCCACGTGTGGCTCCAAGGACCCCCACATACACTCCTCACACACACCCACACCCTCCCACACATCCAGCCACCACCATACCCCCACACACACAAACAACTTTGCACACACCCTCACCCCAACACACCTGCACCCCAACACACACACACACCCACGCACCCCACCATACCTGCCAGCAGCCTCCTCCACGCCCTGCCATACCCCATACACACACCCACCAACACTCCCCACCCTCCCACCATACCCATATCCCACACACACACACCCTCACACCCCTCCACATACACCTCTCCTTCTCACACACAATATACAAAAGTAAGGCTTTATTTTGAGCTATTATGCAATCACCTTTATATACACTACTCAAACACACATAAGTCAGGACATTATTTTTTTAAATAAAATTAAAATATGTAGTAGTAGATGATTGATTTATTTTTAGTATATGATTTTTTTTCCGGTTCCAAGATGGCACCCAAGATGGCACTCTGAAGGAGTACTTCTGGGGCAGGGGAAGGGACTTCCAGTGGCAAAGGTCAGAGGTTACGGACTTCTGGTCCGAAGATGGCGACCAAGGGATGGGGCTACACTTGTGGCCCTCAACAGCTCACCAAAACTCATTAAGCAGCCCTCCAGCCAAAATAGTTGCCCTACCCCTGCTTCAATTAAAGCTCGTTCATGCTTATTAATGAGCTTTAATTAAAAGCACCTCAGTTGCCTTTTTTAAACCTGTGACTGCTTATAGACATGACACTGTGATGATGCTAGAGTGCTCCAATTAGAATATGGAGTCTACTCTGACACATTCTAATTAGAATGCTTTGGAGCATGTGTATGGGCGCCCACCTGCCTTAACCACTCTTTCACAATGCTCCAGCACATGCCTAAATAGGGAGTGAAATTCTGGTCCCCTGAAGCCAAACTGCCATTATTTCTGTATGGACAAGATTTCATCTAAATTGTGACTGACATTATTTAGGATTATTTAGAACACAGTTTGACTGCGAGAGGAAGACACTGCTTGAAAAGAAATCTGCTTTTTAATAGGCAGATAAGTAATAGAAAAAAAAGAAGAAAAAAGCTACACTTGTTGGCAAACAGATGCTCCCACATTTACTCTTTAAAGAGAGTGTCTGCTCCAAAAACTAAGTGTCCCTTTTTCCTTTACAGATATGGTCCCTGAGATATGGTTGTTTTCCTGCTTACATGCATGTATTTTTGCTTGTTTTATGAAGCCAAATATATTTTTTTCCTGTCTTTTACTCAAATCACTTCAGAGTCAACACAATTGTAGGAGAATATGATAAATTATATATTTTGTATCAATAAAAGAAAATCTTTGAGAGAATCTTGGAAGTCTCAGGTCCATGTTAATATGCCTTCCACTATCTTTCTTTAGAACCAACATAATTTCATTAGTGAATCTTCACTTTGAAAGGTGTCTCTATCATAGAGTTTAATAAAATGAATACTGACATTTAATATGGACTTTTGCTTTTACCTTAGCTTCAATACATGTTAGTTTTAAATAGATGTCTAGACTATGTAATATAAAAAGCACTCATGCATCAGTAGAGGTGAGACTTGGAGCTAAATGAGATGGAGATGCATGCCTTGATCTCACCAGCCTCTTCATCTTTCTGTCAACAGCTCTTTCCTCTAACAGCCATTCATTAGGGCTTCATTATTGTCATATTTTCAAATATGGTACTAAAAATGGATAGGTCCCTGAATAAACTGAAAAATACCAGAATGGATAAATGAATGAATGAATAAATAAATAAAGACTGATGAGCCTTTTCCTATTTGAGAGGAATAGATATGCCTGCTATTCCACAAAGCCTGGTCCTAATTATTCAGGAGATTTTTAAATTTTTGTTGCACTTCACTTGTTGAATGTCACATTTAGGCATCTGACCTATCCCTTCCCCTTTACATCAAGCATGGATGTAGCAATCAGGTACTTAACTGTGACCTTCAGAGAATCCTCTTTCCCAACTTAAGTACAGCAAGGAATAGATCTCAGGGCCTTTTTAGACTTTACTCTGTAAGCTGAACAAAAGTTAGTCAGCTTAGTGTTGTTCGTCTTAGTGGAGCAGTCACACAGTAAGGTAAAAAACCTGTTCTGACTGTCCTTCATCTGTACAGCTGTGACTTGCCATGAGAGGCTTGGTGAGCAGGGGCAAGACTAAGAACAGAAGTAACTCACTGCTCCCACTGGGCAAAGAGCAGGTCCACCACCATTTCAGCTGCACTGAGACCAGAGGGACCTAGGGCACTCACTCACTCTGAGCTCCAAGGGGCCCAATCCTTTCTTCTCTGGAGCTCAGGTCATGCCCACCACCCGCACCACCCCCACTGGGAGCAGAGCTGGTCCAGGAAGCGGCAGGAGGCACTGCAGCTACAGCGCACTTGGGGTCTGCAGTACTTGCTCTGCCAGACGTCCCTGGGGGTAAGACGCCATGCCTGGCCTTGCTGAACCTTGGCATCCCTGCTCACCCTAAGTCAGGAGGGGCCACTGCATTCTAGGATACTGGAGGACTTCAACTTGAATGGAATAGCTGTGGGAAGGGGCCACATGATAATGGAATAGGAACAAAATTAGGCAGATTGGAAATAATTCTGCCCTGGAAGGGTGTAACTATAAGACAAATAACAAGTTCTTTAAGCCACTGAAAAAGGTGTTCATGTGCAGCCAGTCCAGGGGTTAAGAGCTCCGGAAGCCACCTAAACTTACCGAGGAAAAAGGCCCTCAGACAATCAGTAAGGAACTTTAAAGAAAATAGAGAGTGGGAATGGTCATCCTTGAGGTCAGTCAAAGATAGCCTCATTATATTTCATATCTTCCTTTCATCTCTAGGGTATGAACAAAGAGTTTGCATGTAAGACCCTTCATAGCTGGGCTTAATAATAGAATGTAAATAAACCAGGGAGGGGGCATTTTTGCATTTAGCATCTAGCATAATATAGAGCATTGGTTTACCTTGTACAGATAACTATTACATCCCATTATGTGATGAAGATGGGTACTACAAACCAAGTCAGTGCCACGGAAGTACAGGGCAGTGCTGGTGTGTTGACAGATATGGTAATGAGGTAACAGGATCCAGAACAACTGGTGCTGCTGAATGTGGTAAGTTGTAAAATTCTTCCTGTTTGTTAGAATAGATTTCCTATTCCCTCTAAAATCAGTGGCCTTACTTTTTAGTGCCAAATCCAAATTCACTTCTAAAATGTGCAAGTATCACTTATACAGAGAATAGGTGGTGGACCCACCCACTTAGTCCAATAATCCTAGTAGTCAGGGCACTATATCTAGCATCTAGATGAAATCAGGTTGTATACTCAGCATACTGTTGAACTCAATTTGACAACCATTTAATTAAAGCCTAGTTATCAGGAACTTGGTATAAATTTCTGAAGTACTTAAAAAGGGGTCTGCATGTATATCACTTCCTGATCCCCCTTAATCCCTGTACCTTTACTGCTCCAAGCATCCCAAACCTGCCACCAGAATTCAAGGGTGCCAGTAACACCATTTTTTAATAAAATATTTTGGGATCCTACACTTAACTTACTGACTCTGAAATTCCCACAAGTCTCATGCTACTACAATAGATGTTTTATGCTACTTATTGATTACAAGAAGCTTCTCAGGAGCCACTCCAGATACAAATAGGTTCTTCATCAAATCAGATGATTTCTCTAAATCCACTCAAAGCACCAACTAAGTGGACCTTGTCATATAATCATGTAAATGAATATATCACTATTTGAAGATTAAATAGAAAAATAAATTCTTGCTACATAAAACTAAAAAGATACACTGGCGCAGATACATGGCTATATAGAAAAGGTAAATAAAACATAGCTAGAACATGCCCTACTGGTTCAAACACCAAGTCCATGTTGTCCACTGTCCTGTCTCTGAAAGTGGCCCACAGCAGGTACTTCAGAGTGCAGTGGAAGAATCCTGCAGTACACAGAAATTGGATAATCTGCCTATCTCACATTAAACATTCTGATTTCTACTACAGATTTGTTTAGGTCCTGAAACTGGTATTTGTCCTTCTTCCAAATTGTTATCACCATTGATTAGAAGTCTAGATACCCTTCATACCTATATACATTTCCTATCTTTTTTTAACGTTAATAAATTTGTGGCCTGTATGACCTCCTGTGGCAGTAAGTTCCATACTCTAAATATGTTATGGGAAAAAATATTTCCTTTTATAGACAGCAGAAAAATATTGAGGCTTTATTCATTTATTTTTTACCTTATACCTCACTGTTTATTTTAAACAATTAATTGACATGAATCCATAGATCCCTGAGTTCCTGTAGTATCAGGTAACTATTATACTTTTTTAGCTATTGATTTAGAGACCTCAGGTGATTTTGCCAGTGGTGATTTCCATGAATGGACAGATGATGAGGATGATGAAGATGATGTGATGAATGATGAAGATGAAATTGAAGATGATGATGAGGACGAAGGGGATGATGATGTGGATGATGATGATCATGATGGATACATTTGATGATTTTAGAGGTCAACAAATTGTACCTTTCTAAAAATCACATGGTGACATCTCATAGAAAATTCCTTTGCTCTGCAAGATCAAAAGGATTTAAAAATATGTATATTTTGTATGATTATTTCAAATATTACAGCTGGAGTCATAGACTTTGTTTAAATAAGAATCATTATATTATGTGCTTTTGAGGTTTTTTATGCCATTGAGCAGAAGAAAACACATTGGAAGTCTAGACTGAAGAAATAATTGTGATGTGCTACTAGAAAATAAACATGCAGAACATCATAAGGACAACCAAACTTTTAAAAACTTCCATAAGGAATATTTACCATTGTTTGGGACTTTGTGCTCTAATATATGTTAAAGTTTCATTAACTTTAGCAGTTACTGGGGCCATGTGGTCTTTCAAATTGAACATGACCTGGACCAATCATTTACTGCAGTAGAAACTTCAATGCACAAGTAGCATCTCACCAACCTTTAATTAACCAAAGGTGTGGAGAAAATGTGACTGTAAGAGAAAATAATGAAGTTCCTTCTTTCTGTTTGCATTTGTAGTTATGTTTTTGATCAGGAAATGGCTAAGTTTATGAAGGAATGTCTTTTAAAAGCCGTAAACACAGGCAAGAATTGATTCTGCAAGTCTGAAGTTTTGTTGTCCTTCTTTAAATTTTTTCTTTTGACATCGAACTCTATATAGACTTTACTGCTTACTCAAGCAGCAGCATTATTTCATCCTCTTTTGTTTGTCTCTTTCTTAACCAGAGTTGCATAAAATATTTCAAATGGGAAAACTTTTCAAAATACACTTGAATTATACTTTACTGTACTTGAGAGTGACAGCACGACTCAAGACAATTTAAGTAACCCCTAACTATAATTTTTATTTTCCTGTTTCAGGAAATACTTTTGCATCTTTTTCTTTAATTCATGTCTTTTTCTGCTGTTAGTGCAGAACTTTAGAGAAAGTATTGTAAGGTGCCTTGCAAAATAGAAATAGAAAGGTTTTAGCATGCATACCGATATAGGACGTTAGGCAATAGCTAAGCACACCCAGTTACCAAAATAATACCAGTATAGGTATTGCTGCTGGAATGAAGAAAATGGGTTATTTTATTTTTTTTCCTATTGTTATGTAATTATCATGTGGACTAGATTATGATTATTGTGTAGCGTAGCATTTAAGATTTAACTGTAGAGAAAATTACTTTAATCACTGTATTTATGTTAGCATGTTAATTAATCGTGTAGACATTTCAGAACTCCATCACCTCCATGCATATCAGACCTATGGCTTTCCACCCACAATAAAATTGAAACAACCTGTGTAACATACTGCAGGTTGTATAATTTCAACAGTTGATCACTGGTTTCTCTGATTTTCATCTGCAGTTAATTGAAAGGAAAATCAGTTTATTATTTGCATTTGATTTCTACATATTGAATACTAAATTTAATGTTTATCTTATGTAATATTAAAAAGTATAATGCATTTTCTTTTTTACTGTTTATGTATAGTTTGCAAAATAAAGACTCTTGTAACCAACCTTTAGCTGCATAGTGTAATTTTTAATGGTATAGCCAGTTATTTTGAATTTTTGTCTTAGTTGTTAAAAGAGAAAGATGAAGGTTTTATTTTTTCAGATACAATTACATAGTCATTCAACTATTCAGGTATATATGCAGTTATATAAAGGCATGTCCTGATGCTTCATTACATTTCAGTAGAGTTTGAGGATTAAGTTAAAAGCCATAAGAAATGTTTTTCTTCTTTGTATCTAATTATTTCTCAATTTGCTGTGAATGTGGAATTGTTATTATTTTGTCATCATTTTATCATAGCATGTGTTGCACACCAGATTTACTATTCTTTTCCATTATGGAAAAAAATAAGGGTGAAGAGACATGGTATTTTCTTAATTAAGTATAATAAAGTGTTTATTATATTGGCTGAATTTTGCCACAAACCAATTTCTTGTAGGTGGAATAAGCTTCTATATAAAATAATTTTGAATAAAACAGCTAGAGATAAGTAGTTATGATCATTGGCTGATATAGTAATCTTATTCTACTTTCTGATGTAACAAATGTATATCAGCTGACAAATTAAAGATGCATTTCATGCAGCTTATGGTGTTACTTGAAAACCTATTGGAGAATTTGGGAATATTTTATTTATAATGTACATAACCATTAAACTTTAATAGACATTGAACTTAGAAAAATCAGTGCTAGCACCAGTACTTTTCAATGTACAGCAGCAGCACCAGAATACCTCAGGCTTCCTACGTACAACATCTAAGTGATACATGTACACTGGCAATGTCACCATAGTAGCCAATAGGCATGACAGAGCTGGAAAAGACACTGGGTACTGACATGGAAGTCATCACCAACTATCTCCACAAGTGGTGCTTTAAGTTAGGCATTGCTAAACCAGTATCATCATTCTTCCACCTGGACAATGATCAAGCCAAGAGCATGCCGAATATCTGAGTAGGTGATCATATCCTTCCCCATGAGTATACCCCAAGCCTACCTAGGATTAAACCATTCCCTCACCTATAAACATCACATTCAGAAGGTCAACAGTAAAGTGTTTGCATGAGTAGTTGCCTTAAGATGTTTAGCTAGTATGACATGGGGTACCAACTTCAAAATGCTCAGTACCACCACAGTTGCAATGGTTTATGCCTCAGCATAATATTGTGCTTTCGTATGCTCCAGAATTTGTCATCCTTGACACTGCACTTTACAGTGCACTGAGACTTAGGGTGCACAACAGACTCACACACAGAGATGTACTCCCTGTACTCTCTGGCATTAGACCAACGATATAAGAAGAGAAACCCTAACATCATTACTGGCAATAGAGGCAAGATATGGCAAAAATCACCCACTGCATCAACTCTTAACTGAAGACCCAGACAGACAGAGAGGCTTAAAAGTTGTAAAACATTTGTACATAAAGTCCACAAGCTCCTGAAAGAGCTTGGGGATACCGAACCAAAACTAAGGTCAGTAATGGAGTGGGCCGACCACTGGGAAAGATCAGTTCTATTCCTACAGCATTTAATATAGATACCAAATGAGTCCCCCATTGGGTACGACCTTGATGGAGAAACGAGGGTCAGGCTGAACAGACTGAGATTTGGATACAGGGATTTCAAATACCCTTGATAAGATGAACTTCTTGGACAGCTCCTGTGTGAATGCAGTGTCCAACCAGCACTTAATCAAAAGCTGCAATTTTAAAAATGCCCAGATGGGGTAGATGGAATCTACACATTGAGTGATTATACCACATAGTGGTTCATAGATTTGGAAGTTGATATCTGATGCCATACGAGAGAGAGAGAGAGAGATGGGAGTAGATTATGAAGATTATTCTATAGTTGAAGGTAATGCAAAGAATAAAATGTACTGAATTCTTTCCATCCTGGGTATTCCAGATTAAATTCAAATGAATGAGATGACATCAACTCAAATTAGTCCTTCAGTGTCCTAGCTTGGCAGCAAGAATAGACCCACAGAAGTCATGTTAGAAAATTAGATTCAGTAAAAGGCACAAACATTGAAATTCCAAGGTCATCTGGGAGTGTTTCCTTAAAGAAAAACTACTAAAATAAAATAAAATAAAATACAGTATTGTATATTCATAAGGGGTAGGTAGTGGAAGGGTGGAAATATAAAATAGATATACAACACCCTAGAGAGAAAAGTGTGTACATTATGTAGCTACACTGAATATTTTCCCAGTTTTAAGTTCTTGTTTTTTGTAAAGAACATATTCATTTATTTTAATTATAATCAGGCTCAGGCATGCACAGCATATGACCCGAGGGCCGAGGGCAGTCTGCCAGGACACTACCAGTAGCCCAGCACCTCAGTGAGTCTGATGTGTATCCATGAAGAGATGGAAGCAGGCTCAGAAGCTATGATTGCACTAATAACACTGATTCCCATGACAGATAAGGAGGGGCCAGATTGGACCAGACCCACATTGGTCATTGTGTCAGGCAGGGCAGGGAAACCTTCCTATATACCTCTGTTTGTATTGTGAAGATAGCAAGGTTCCTGGAGGAAGGAGCTTTTCCTCTGGTGAGCACAATAAAAGGCAGTGGCTGTGGCCCTTGGGGCATTCCTCTCCCACCTATGTCTCATCCCTTTCTTGTTTCAGTCTTCTTCATATCCTGAGTACTGCAAAAATTAATCATATTTGTGATATTGTTGGGATGACACTGCAAACTTGGCATAATGTTTCCTATTAATTGCAGCCCTCCACTGGCAAAGGCAACTTATAAGTGGCTATCAAGAGAGTTTGAGTTGTGAAAGTTCTGTAGTTGTTTGAGTTATTTTGGTAACGTTTAAATATTAACATTTGATTGATGCAATCAGACTTCTTTAGTCCTTTAAGTACTATAGTGTATAGGATTAATAAATCCATATTGTAGGTCCAGTTTGATAACATGACATTTTCCAAATGCTTATTCATGTTAAAATATATTACAGGTGCACCAGGAATCATAAACACATAAAGAAGCAGGGATGGAAGAGAGCCTGGCTAACAGCTAGGTATTGCTCTGGATGGCCAGACTCCATTTGTGGCAGGGGACACTTCTGCCACATGCACCACACCACCTTTTATTACTTTTTTTTTTTGATACTGGGACATACCTGTATCTAATTTTGGCACTGCACTGGAAATATGCAGTCCACAAATAGGTTCATGTTCACTATGTGTGGTTTGTGGCTCCTCAAATGGCTTTGAGGCACTGCAAAACTCATAGCCTACTTGTCCGGAGGTGCCTATAGAGTCAGTCATAGAGTCATAGATAAGTACAGCTGTAGTGGACCTCCAGAGGTAACCTAATCCAACACCCTCCCTGAAACAGCAGGGATGGAAGAGACCTACAGAGGTCACCTAGTCCAACCCCCTGCCTGAGGTAGGATCATCCGTATCCAAACCTAGCTATATACAAACCGTAATCTAAACTCAACATAAAATTACCATCAACCCTGACACAACACCGACCTAACACCTTAACCTGCACGGGTAAACCAGGGGAACAACAATATATGCGATCATCCCTATCCAAACCATCTCATACAACTATAGTCCAAACTCTGCATAAGGCTCCTCTCAACCCTGACACAAACCGAACACCCTAGTCTGCTGCAGGGGAACCATGGAAGCCCAAATGCTCAAATGGTCCCAGTCAGAGGTCCATGAGCCCCCTGAAGAGGAAGACAAAAACCTCTTCAGTCCATAACAATCTGACCATGGGGTAAAATGCCTTCCTCACCCCAAATATGGCAGTCAGTCTGATCCTGAGCAGAGGGGCAAAACCCCCTAGCCAAGAACCTCCAGATGCCTTGGCCATGAACCTCTGGCTTTGGTCCCAGCAAGAGCATTGGCACACCTTAGTCAAAGTCCTCAGCCTTCACTATAGCTAACACCCAGTGCCTCTGAGAAAGGCTTAAAAACCCCATGATACAGTGCAGAAGAGTAGGGGAAAGGCAGAGGCGGGAGGGAGGGAACAACCAGAGAAGTCCAGGAGCATAGGAAATCACCACAGTAGAACACAGGCATAGCTACACCTAGATCATCCCCAACCACTGGCTCTCCAACTGGTTCTTGAACACCTCTAATAATGGAGAGTCCATATATTTTCGTTGTAGTCTGTTCCACTGCCTCATTCTAACAGTGAAAAAGTTTTTCTGGATAGCCAAGCTAAACCTATTTTGCTGCAACTTCAAGCCATTGGTTTGCATCCTTCTCCTCTCTGTAGCAAGAGAGAAAAGGAGCTTTCCCTCTTCTTTATGGCAGCCCTTCAAGTATTTGAAGACTGTTACCATGTCCCCTCTTAAGTGCTTTTTCTGCAAGCTGAACATCAGCCTCTCCTCATATGACTTTCTTTCCAAGCCCTTAATCATCTTTGCCCACCTCTGAGCCCTCTCTAACTTCTCCAAATCCTTTTTAAAATCTGGAGCCCAAAACTGTACACAGTACTCCAGATGAGGCCTAACCAGTGCCAAGTAAAGAGGCATTATCACCTCCCATGTCTTGCACCTAATGCTTCTCTTGATGCATCCCTAAACTGCATTGTCCTTTTGTGCAGCTGTATCACACTGTATACTCATTTTGTCAGTGATCTGCCAAAACTCCCAAGTCCTTTTCCATTGTGCTGCCATCCAGCAAGGCATCACCCATTTTATATTTGTATTTTTCATTATTCTCCCCAAAGTGTAGCACCTGACATTTGTCTGCATTGAACTTCATCTTGTTAGCTCTAGCCCACCTTTCCAATATGTCGACCTTCTGAATTGCACTCCCATCCTCCAGTGTGTTCACAGCTCTTCCCAGTTCCATGTCTTCTGCAAACTTACTCAAGAAGCTTTTTATGCCACCATCCAAATCATTGATAAACACCTTGAACAACACTCAGCCCAGACCAGACCCCTCTGCAACTGCACTTGAAATCTTCTGCCATT